GACCGATAAAGATCTTTGTAGAATATGTAGGAACCAATATGAGCATCCAGGTTCCGCTATTGGTTATTGACCGGAGACGTGTATCAATCATGTCTACATAGTTCTCGAACCCGTAGGGTCCGCACGCTTAGTATTATCAGTTTATGTGATATGTTGTACCGAAGATTGTTAGGAGTCCCGGATGTGATCACGAACATGATGAGGAGTCTCGAAATGGCCGAGACATAAAGATTGATATATTGGACGACTATATTCGGACACCAGAAGTGTTCCGGAGAAGTTTCAGATATAACTGAAGTGCCGGAAGGGTTATCGGAACCATCGGAGAAGTAATGGGCCTTATTGGGCCTAAGGGAGAGAGAGAGGGGCGGCCAGGGGCAGGCCGCGCCCCCCTCCCATGGGCCTATTCCGAATTGAACTAGGGGGAGGGGCGGCGCCCCCTCCTTCCTTCTCATCCCCCTCCTTCCTTCTTCTCCTAGTAGGACTAGGAAAAGGGAGAGTCCTACTCCTACTAGGAGGAGGATTCCTCCCCCCTTGGCGCACCCTAGAGGGCCGGCCGGCCTCCCCCTTGCTCCTTTATATACGGGGGCAGAGGGACACCCTAGAACACACAAGTTGACAATTGTTTTAGCCGTGTGTGGTGCCCCCCTCCAAAGTTACACACCTCAGTCATATCGTCGTAGTGCTTAGGCGAAGTCCTGCGCCGGTAACTTCATCATCACCGTCACCACACCGTCGTGTTGACGAAACTCTCCCTCGGCCTCAACTGGATCAGGAGTAAGATGGACGTCATCGAGCTGAACGTGTGCTGAACGCGGAGGTGCCGTATGTTCGGTGCTTGGATCGGTTAGATCGCGAAGACGTTCGACTACATCAACCGCGTTAACTAAACACTTCTGCTTTCGGTCTACGAGGGTACGTGGACACACTCTCCCCTCTCGATGCTATGCATCTCCTAGATAGATCTTGCGTGATCGTAGAATTTTTTTTGAAATTACCGCGTTCCCCAATAGACATTAACCCCTAAGCTCTAGGGGCGGCCAAGCCGAACTAGTTGGGGCAGCCCATAATCGTTGTACTCTCTAACGGGGGCCTTCCTGAGTGTGTGGGGTTTTGGGTCTTCAAGAATCGTCGCTAGTGTGTATTGCATATCGCGCTCTCGACGAGGCTCCTGTAGCGACATGTTCTGCACATCACGCTCGACACTTGCACGCATGAGGAGGGGGGTGCGTACGCACTTTCTATGACTCCACTTAGGACAGAATCTTTGAACGATTAACTGTGACAATTGTTTATCATAAAAAAACTGTGACAATTGTTACTACAAAGGAATCTTGATGAAGAGTTTGCAATCTTCGTTGTTAATACGAATACTCAATTTACTTATATAGGCGTACATAATTCGTATGCTGGTGTTGCTATATCTTTTAATGAGCATACTGTGTCGACTAGCCCTAGAATTTTCAGTTGTGCATATGATTAATGCATCAACAATCACACAAATATCCATATATATGCCGATGAACAACATGATAAATCTGATTAATCATCATACTATGGTTAGGAATTTTAATAATATGCACATGCGCCGGTATCAACACAAACATTGCACGGAATCAGCATCGAGCAAATATGAGTATTGTTTACCATCCATCCAGGAAAGAACAGTCGAGCTCCAAATGGTTCTGCAAAAGCTTGAATAAAAGCTACTCCACTCGGAGCCCGTACGCATGGAACGTGTTTGTGGAAATGCCGCCCCAGCAAACAACTCAAGAAAACCATACTTCGTTGATCGGGGGCTCTTTCGGGTGCTTTTGGAAGATCGTTTCCGGCCCAACGCCGAGCCCATTCGAAGGCGCGCGGTCCGTATAAGAGAAGCCAACTGCCGCCGTCCGGTCGCCGGCTCACCCAGAAACGAAAAGTTGAGAGGAGAGAGATGGAGAGAGGGAGAGCAATGCCGCGCGGGCGTCGTGGCAGGGGGAGGGGGAGGGGCAGGGGCAGGGCTCGGACCCCCGTCGCCGACGGCGGCAACCGCGGGGAGGCGAGCAAGGCGGGGCTGGCGAACAAGGCGAAGGAGCTCGCAGGGGCGGGCCAGGAGGACGCGAACGGCGAGGCGCACGACTGGGTAGAGGTGCCGGTGGTGTGGAGGCAGCCGCGGGGCGCCGCCGCCGCCGCCGCCGATGCAGCGCGGATGAAGCAGCTCGCGGAGGATCCCAAGGAGAAGCCCGCCTCGGGCGACGATGCTGCGCGGATGAAAGAACCGGTGGAGGACCCCAAGAAGATGCCCCAGCGCGACGAGAGCGTGGCGGGCGAGGGGCACGCGAGCGGCGAGGTGCAGGGGATGCGGGAGCAGCCACGGTGCTCCGACGACGACGACGACGATGCCGCGTGGACGAAGCAATTGGTGGAGGATCTCAAGGAGAAGCCCCAGCGCGACGAGAGCGCGGCGGAGAACTTCTTGGCGGGCCAGGAGGACGCGAGCGGCGAGATGCCGGTGGTTTGGAGGCAGCCACGGGGCGCCGCCGCCGCCGACGATGCTGCGCGGATGAAGCAGCTGGTGGAGGATCCCAAGGAGAAGACCGCCGCTCCGTTCAACCCCGGGATGGTCGAGTACATCAACGTTGGCGGGTACGTGATGGAGCGCGACGTCTACGACTTCATCCAGTACGACCTCGGGATGCCCCCGCCCAGCCTCGAGTCCGAGCCGCCGGAGCCAGGCCACGACGAGCCGCTGCGGCTGTGGTCGTGGGACGACTCCTCCTTCCCCGAGAGCGCGCCGCCGCCACCGCCACCGCCGCCCAAGTGAGCCGCCTACGTCTCTGTGCTGGCCGTAGAACGGGTGGTGTGACGAGTTCACCCAGTTTTGGAGCATTCGCATGGTAGGGCTCTTGTCGCTGCCGCTATCTAGCTGGGTTCCGCCGTACCGACAATGGCTTCACCGGCGGGACTCGCCGCGTATGCAGTCCCCGATCGATTTTCCCGGACAACCACGGCATGGGAAACCAATGTAGACCACCGGCATTGCTGTAGTCTGTAGAAGTAACTGTAGGAAGCTGTAGATGGAAGAAACGCCGTAGATCGATGAAATGTACTAGATCGAGAACTTTCTGGTTATCACGCTTGGGAGGAGATATTCAGTCTGCAAAACAAATATTGAGCATGAGGCTGCAAAAGTGAGCAGCAGTAAAATGCAAGGGAATGACTATAGCTGTGAGACATGTTTCTTGGTCGCCGTTCTTACCGAAACCAACCACATGCCAGTATTCTGGTCATGTATAACATGTTGGTTCTTATTTGGATGGTTGCTAATGTTTTTCTTGTCCATACTTTTTAGTCAACCCACTTGTTTTTTTGTGTGTGTTAATTTTGTCAGAAAAGGGGGGCCACGAGAACATGAATTACATGTTTTTATCGCAAAAAAGAAACAATTATATGGTTTTCATGGATGTGTAAGTGCAAATTTTTAAGTTATTTTAGCATGTCTACGAGACTTAGCCAATTATATATGTTTATTATTTTTCAGTGGACGAAAAAGGCAGCCAAAGCCGTGATGGAAACTTGATACATCGATTTTCACCAATTAGGAATAGTAGTTTCTTTTTGTCTTAGTTAACAAAATCATCCATACAAGTTTGTTATTGCGTCGTCAAAATTTGGTCTCTTGTTTAGACGATCTCCAATATTTGTGCATGGCCTTTCTAGCTAACTATACTTTAGTTTTCTTGCCAACATTTGTTTGTAACACCCCAGTAAAAAACATTTGTCTGTAACATTTAAAGTAATTTACAAAGTATGAGATTCAATTAAATAAAAGTTGTTCATAAATCCTAATAATAAGTAAAAAAATGCATCAAGGCAACTTTATGTTTCCTTGTCAAGCATTTCAAATATTGAGCATGAAGCTGCTATCTCTTTGGAGCAACGAGATTAAGGTTTCTCGACGGATACGCATGGTGACAGGATCTGGTGTCAGGCATTTCAAATCGAACGAGGGTTCAACATCGACGACAATGATTCTAGGGCATGCGCACGCACCCTTCCCCGCTGTCATCAGTAAGGTCAGGTCGGCTCCTATATGGGAGTGGCGACAACGGCTCGATGTAATTTGTACTAGTATTATGTTTTGGTGCTTTGCACTTTCAGTGAACATAACAGATCCGTGTCTTTTCCGTGAAAAAGAAAAAAGAAAAGACCCCCGATCCAAATCATCGAGAGAAAGCAAGGAAATTCTCATTATAAAAAAAAATCCAAACAGATATAGCAAAGGAAAAGGAGAGAGAGAGAGGGAGGGACACACTCACACACCCAGCGCACGGGCACGTCACGGTCTCCTCCGCGCAGGCGTAGGAGCACATCCAGCGACACGACCGCCGTCGCCCCTACTGGCCCCCGCCGTCCGGTCCGGTTTGGATTCGGCAGCGACTTGATCTCAGCGTTTTCGGGAAGGTTCCGCGTAGAGAAAATAAAAGAGTGCTGCTATGCACACGATACTCTTGGACGATTCTTGGACGATAATGCAAATCAGACCATCTATATAAAGGACTAGGTGCAACACAGCCAGTGGATTAAACATATCGTCGCTGAATCGTCCAGCAGTATCGTCTGTGAAGTAGTTTCGAAAATAAAATCCCCACCGCTCGCCGCCCTCGCCCCGCCCACCCCGCGTAAGCCCTAGGCCGCCGCCTTCGCCGCAGCCTATCGTGCCCGCCGGCCACCCTCCACCCTCCTCGACGTCTCTCCCTAGGTCGCCGCCCTATTCCCTCCCTGGACGCAGCCCAATAACAACTCTGCCCGACCTAGGCGGCGGCCATTGAGGCGACGGCGCCGCCCCTCCTTCCACGCGACTCCCCGCGCTCTCGCCAGGCTCGGTCCTAGTTAGAAACCAGGATACAATCGAAGTATACCGAACTTGGGCGTATCTGACTCGCCGTGCTTCCGTGCTTCTCCCAACCGTATCGGCGGCGAAACCCCGGGAGGGGGAGAGCGAATCGCCGGCGGCGATGACGGCGGCTGGGGAGGAGGCGGAGAGCTCCGCCGCCGCCGAAGAGCGGCCGCGCGAGCCCTTCGCCCGCGGCGGCCCGGTGTTCATCCCCTACATGGTGGGCCCTGTCTGCACCGTCCCCGAGTTCATCTCCTCCACGCTCCGCGAGGTTCAGGTGCGAACCCCTCTCCCCAAACCCTAGCTCTTCGATTCGCCCTAGAGTTTTGGTCTAATGGCATATTGTTTCCGTTTGCGTGCAGTCCCTGCGTGACGAATTGGGCGACCCCGGGGACGAATTCGATGACGAGCTCTGGTAATCCCTTGATTTCATCACGCCTTGTCGACAGAAATCCTCTGCAGTTTGCTTAGTGTGTACTTCCATATTAGGGATTTGACATTGCAAGCTGTACTTTGTGTGTGTGTTTTGCAGCGTTGATGACCTGCGGGTGCTCTCTGAGGAGGAGCTTGTGGAGCGCGCTCTCCGGGAGGCCATGGAGGTGACCTCTCTACTGCTAATCCACTTGCTCTATTCCCTTTGCTGTCATTGGTATCTTGATGCGAGTTCTTTATCCATGCATTTGTAGGAGGGCTGGGACTGTGGCGCTCCATCACAATCAGCAGATCAAAGTTCTGGCGCTCCATCACAACCATTGGATCAAAGGTTAGATGGGGGGTAAGCAGTCTGCTTTGGTTGATGCTTGGTTGCTGTATTTTTTGTTGTGGTTGATTTCTTATCTTGTATGATGGCTTAGGCAAGTTGGATTAAATGCAACATGAGCAGAGGATGCTTGGAAAATGTTGGCATGGTGGTTACTAGTTAGCCTCCATGCCAATCAAAAAAATTAGCAAGGTAGGCTTTCCCAAGGTGTCTGCTGTAGTATGTTTTACATGTCATGACATGCAAGTCAGAACTCGTAGCAAGAGCACCTGAGAATTAGTGTTGTAGTGACACTTTTGTGAACTTACGCTACCCCTAGCTGCATTTTTGACATTTGATAATCTGTTTTGTTATGCCTTATATGACTGATATGATCTGATGTGTTCTTTTGGTCTAGCACATGCAGAATGTCAGCGAGTTCCACCCCTGGAAATGAGACTGTCACCTCAAGTGCATCAGCTGAAACACAAAGTTCAGTATCAGCTCCCGGTGATATGGCAATTGGACTGTATGAACCACAAGGCAGCAATGGGAAAACAAGAGGTGGAAAGAGGAAAACCAGAGAGAGGAATGGAAACAATGGTGCCCTCACCTCAGATTCAACAGCTGAAAGAGAGACATCTGGATCTGGATCACCTGTTGAGTTGGCGATTGTACCACATGAACCAGAAGGAAGCAAGGGGAAACCCAGAGGCAGAAAGGGTAAAAATGGAACCTCTTCAACTCCATCAATTGAAAGTGAAACACCTGTATTGCCTAGTGAGGATATGTCAGTTGTTCCTCATGATCCAGAAGGCACAGATGGTCAAACAGAACGTAAAAAGGGCAAAAAGAGAGGCAGGCATTTTGATCGGGAAGTTCGAGCGCATATTTTACAGGTATGACACTCCATTTGTTGTCTACGTGCTTTGTTAAATGCATTTTTTTTTATATAAATCTGTCTTGTGTAGTCACTGTAGCTGCTTCATGCCTTCGTTGCATCAGTTCAGTTGGAGCATGTTCCTCCTAGATTGCTTTAGGTTTCTGGCCATTTTGACAATATGATCAGCTGGTTAATAGAAATTTTTGCTGGTGCTGCCAGTTGGTAAGTTTGAAGAATATAAAACAAGTCTGCGATAGTTGAAAAAGGACCTAGTTTAATTATGACTGCTATAATATCCAAACATTTCATATTTACCTATTCTACTAGAATAGATTGAATTCTGCAAAATATATTATAGAACCAGGCTTTAATGAGGACTAGGCCCAGGTTTCAGTGATATGCATGTACATAGTAAGACATTTCCTGAATACTCCCTCCGTTCCTAAATATAAGTCCTTTTAGAGATTTCAAATGTATATATACATATTTTAGAGTGTAGATTTGCTCATTTTGCTCCGTATATAGTCACTTAATGAAATCTCTACAAAGACCTATATTTAGGAACGGAGGGAGTATTAGTTAGTGGTAGCCTATGTATTATCTCGTCATTAAGTTCATTTAAATGCATCCGTTTTAGCATCTACAAATACTGATCGTTGTTTTGCATCATATTATTTCATGATATTATCATAATCAGGGGAGTTATCTTACTAAAGCAGAGAAGATGTCAGAGATCATGGTAAAGCAAGAAGATGACAAACATGCAGCAAGGCTGCACTCATTCAGGTAATGTGGTTAAACTTTGTTTGCCTACATTCAGGCACCGTGGATTTTCTTTGTAAAACATTGGATTTCATTGAATCTTGGTGGGGTGCTATTATTCAAGCCATCACATAGAGATTATGCCTGCACAGTGCTAGATGTAATAACAGATTGATACTAACTTAACTTTCTGGTATCCTCAATCTTTTATAGAAAGACTTTAGTTTGTAATATATGTTTTTGTTCAAACATAGCTGCAGAATTTTATGAAGTAGTATTCAGAACCAGATGTACCCAGTCCATTTTGGTTCTGACTCAGATTGAACACAGAATTCTCGAAGCCTTGGGAACTGCTGAAGAACCTCAATTAAACATAATTAACAGTTTACTCCATATGATTCACATATGTCCAAACCGTGATGTGCGCTCAGACAAAAAACCATGTAATTGAGTTGAAAATAGACTATGCCAACCCTAATCAAAGCACTGAAAGAAACTAATTGCTCCACATCACGCTACCATGCTGCATCAATCCATGCATGCTTGCTTGTCGTTTACCAGTTCCCCAACCAGCTTGCTCCCTGAAAAAGCCTTCCTGAGATTAAAAGGAAAAAGTTTGTAGGCTGATCTCTGGGAGACAGCTTTGATAACTAGCTTTCGGATCGAACCGATATGCTACTGGTTCCTGTTCCAGTTTCAAATAAGATGGTTTCTCCTTCTCAGAAAACTTTTGACATTAGTTAAAGAGTAGTGTCCCCACACCGAGTGCTTCTTGAGCATTTTGGTTGCACTTGAGCTTGTTTATTTGTAGGTAAATTGTGGTGCTGTGTTCAGGCAAATTTGGAGGCAATATTTTTGTATAGCACACCAAATAGTTTTTTTTCCTCCTAAACAAACATAAAAGCAGCATTGTCAGCTACAGTTGCGCATAAGGTTGGTTTCACTTCAGCCATTTTAGAATGCATAGATTCAGCCGTTCGTATGCAAGTATGCGGGAGTTGTACTAATAATAGAACATATAAATGGAGTAGATGAAATGTGACTTTGTGAAAGGAACTAGCATAGAGCCTTGTATGTGGAGACGTGGAATGTTAGGAGTACATCAAATGTGGCGAGTTTTGCCTGGAACAAGGTTTCTTTCAGGAGCATGAACGTGAAGCTTGGGAAAACAGAAATCAGCATATATTATTTGGGTCACCAGGGAGAAAACATCGCTAATGCATCATGCATGCAATCCATGGATAGATATATTGAAACAGGTGTGTCCTGAGGCTGAGGACACATAATGAAATGGAGGGAGTAATTTTTGTCTTAAGTACTGAAAATTATTGTCTGTACTCAAATATTAGCTGGTTCCAGCCAGACTGGATTCTTGTTTTCAGTAAAATGCTGCCAGCTGATACTGATAAGGACATTGAAGCTTGCTCTTGGTCGTTGTGTCAAGTTGGACCCAGCGCCTTTGGATTTAGATCCTGATGGCCATGTCGCCATTTACTATTATTGGTTAATTATTGAATAACTGCTCAAGAGAAACTAAATAAATTTGTCCTTAGTTATCTTATGTTATCCAGTTAAGACCATAATATAGATGCTTTCGTTTGATCTGCTCTGTTCCTTACAATATTATTATTTGAGTGCAGTGGTGATTCTGCGATGTCCAAAGGCTCTAAGGCATCAGCGGAGAAAATTGACTTGGCAAAATCTCTTAAATACAACAGTGCCCACAGTGCCCCTTGGAAGGTATGGTTTTATAACTTGCAACATGCCAATGTTTCTTTACATAAGTTCTCCTTTTTGTTTTCAGAATGTTTCTCTTCTCAACGTTCTTTTTTTTTGTTCCAGAACAAAGCTTCGAAATCTGACGAACACATACCTATAGTTTATCCAGAAGCAATTCTTTGTGTCGAAATTTATGAGCGCAGGCATGGCTCAGTGAAAGTAATTTCTTGGAACTGTAGTTACATGTTCTTATCTTTATGGTGAAATATGTGTAGATTAAGTTTTGTTGTGATCTCTGTGCCCCCTGCAGAATCAGGAATTTCTTGTGTTGGGGAGCCAGCTCCTCACAGATCTGAAGGACAATATTTACTGTTCGACTAATAAGTTGATGGAGTTGAACAAGCTACAAAATCATTCTGGCTATTTTCTTATTGAGGTATGCTTTCTTTAATTCTTTTGCAAATCTATGATGATACGCTATCAGAAGGGTCGTGGCTTTGCTAATCTCCACACTATTTTATCAGGACACGTTCTACAATGACACGAGACATTATTCTGCGGTTGATTACAGTAAGCCTATACTTGACTGGCTTGACAATTCCAGTGATGAGGTGGCAGAGAAGTGGGACGCCATTAGTTCTGGCGTGTTAAAGAAACGACAAAAGGACTTATTGAAGGGCTTGAATATTTCGAATGTGCCCGAGTTTAAATCTGCGAACATGCAGAGTACCTACTTTTCAGACCTGCACTTCCGGCTTGGTGCTGGGTACCTCTACTGCCACCAGGTTGGACACTTGTCTCTAAATTATATCTAACCACAGTCCCATTGTTGTTGAGAATCTAAGAACAGATAACTTAGAACTGCCATACTGTGTGGCGCTTAATATTTCAATTTGCGTGCGCAGAAAAAATTGCACATCATCTTGTTTTATATTGAAAAAAAAGAACCGATATCATTTCCCTCATGTCTCTGGCCTGCACAATTTCAGGGGAACTGCAAGCACACGTTCGTGATTAGAGACATGAGGCTGATCCACCCGGAGGACACGCAGAACCAAGCGGAGTACCCTCTCATGACGTTCCACATGCAGAGGCGTTTCCAGAAGTGTTCAGTGTGCCAGATCTACCTCGCGACAAAGATGACGGTGGACGATAAATGGGCTCCCAATAATCCCTGCTATTTCTGCAAGCAGTGCTACTACCTCCTCCACTACAAGGAGGACGACTCGCTGTTATACCATCATACCGTGTATGATTACTTCCAAGAGTAGAAGGCTTCTTTTCTTCTCCATACCGAAAGCCATGAAGGCCTGGCTTTTACCGCTGGTTCTCTTTTTGTGTACAGTATATTCAATTTTGAAGGTTTTTATAGGGAATTCATTTTTGAAGGGTTTGATGTGTATTCTTTGGCTGCATACGTTTTTGAATTTTGAAACTCACCGGGTGTGTAAATATATGAACCGCCTTTTCCAAATTATACTCTCTATACTGCTCATTGATTGCTAAGGCTGCGGGAGCTTGCGGCACCTCCCCACATCTGTGTCTCCTTGGACACCGTTGTGGTGCCGCTGGTTACATGGGAGTCTCGACGCCCTTGAATCATAATCGAACTGTCCTGGGTGACTTCTGCTCAAATCGGGACTACTGCCCAGGTCGGTTGGTACGTGACATTTTGACTACGCGGAAGATGATGGGGGGTAGGTGTTGATCCTGCACCTCATTTGTCATTTATCATTTTTGTATCTTGAGCAATGTTTCAAATTTTTATTTGAATTTTTGTAACAACATACATCGATGTTGTGTCAATGCATTAAATTATTTTTTTAACATTTTTGAGAGTGCAATGGGGTCCGGTGCACCGGTAGCACCAGATGCGTTCCGTTGTTACTAAGCATGGGGGGAACCCCGGATCTGGAGTCACCCATTGGCAAGGCATGACTGGCTAACAGTCGTGTGGGTGGTGGCCGGTTCTGTACAGGAGGTGCTGCTGGTGGCGGAGATCTAGCTCGGGCGAAATCTCTGGCTGGCCATGACCGGCCGCGCCGACGGTGACGCCTGAGGGCGCCATTTTCCTCCTTGGAGGCGTTGGTATGGACTGATCTCCTCACTTCACCTTTCCCTAGGTTTCCCGGGGAAAAGCCCTAACTCTGTTGGGCGGCGACGGCACTCACGGCGTCGTTCCCTTCTAGAAGGCGCCGCTTTGGGAACCTTGGGGTTGGGTGACGCTTGTGGGTGGTGGGCGACAACGGTGGTGCGATCCTTTCCTAGCATGGATTTATGTCCATTGCTTGGAGATGGAGTCACGTAGATGGAGGTCGTCGGCTGGCGTCGTGGTGGCGTCAATGGCGACAACGGTGGTGGGTGGTGGGCGACAGTGGTGGTGCGACCCTTTCCTAGCATGGATTTATGTCCGTTGCTTGGAGATGGAGTCGCGTAGGTGGAGGTCGTCGGCTAGCGTCATGGTGGCGTCAATGGCTGAGGACCTGCCAAGGCTCGCGTAGGTGGAGGTCGTCGTTTGGCGTCGTGGTGGCATCGATGACGGAGGACCTGCCAAGGTTGTCATCTCAATCTGCTCTGAAGATGGACCAGTGTAAGATGGCGGCGACGACACATGTGAGTGCGTCAGACCGGTTTGAGCCCCGGACCCGACAGATGGCTCGGCCGGGGCCTCTGGCTTTAGATGTTAGGCTTAGATGAGAGGTATGAGTATGTGGCCCAGCTTGCACCCCTTCATCATTTGGATAGGAGTAGCGGTAGGTGCTGCCAAGATGATGAATTCAGACACATTGTTGTTATTATTGGGGAACGTTGCAGAAAATAAAAATTTTCTACGCTTCACCAAGATCAATCTATGGAGTCATCTAGCAACGAGAGAGAGAAGTGCATCTACTTACCCTTGTAGATCGCGAGCGGAAGCGTTCAAGAGAACGGGGTTGAGGGAGTCGTACTCGTCGTGATCCAAATCACCGAAGATCCTAGTGCCGAACGGACGGCACCTCCGCGTTCAACACACGTATGGTTGGGGAAGACGTCTCCTCCTTCATGATCCAACAAGGGGGGAGGAGAGGTTGATGGAGATCCAGCAGCACGACGGCGTGGTGGTGGAAGTAGCGGAGAAACTCGGCAGGGCTTCGCCAAGCTCAGCGAGAGGGAGAGGTGTTGCGTGGGAGAGGGAGGCGCCAAGGACTAGGGTCCGCAGCCCTCCCTCCCCCCTCTTTATATAGGCCCCCCCCCGGGGGGGGGGCCCTAGAGATCCAATCTCAAGGGGGGGGGCAAAGGGGAGACTTGCCCCCGAAGTCAGGTGCCCCCCCACCCCTAGGGTTTCCAACCCTAGGCGCAGGGGGAGGCCCAAGGGGCGCGAACCAGCCCACCAGGGGCTGGTTCCCTTCCCACTTCAGCCCATGGGGCCCTTCGGGATAGGTGGCCCCACCCGGTGGACCCCCAGGACCCTTCCGGTGGTCCCGGTACAATACCGGTGACCCCCGAAACTTTCCCGGTGGTCGAAACTGGACTTCCTATATACAAATCTTCACCTTCGGACCATTCCGGAACTCCTCGTGACATCCGGGATCTCATCCAGGACTCCAAACAACTTTCGGGTTACCGCATACTAATATCTCTACAACCCTAGCGTCACCGAACCTTAAGTGTGTAGACCCTACGGGTTCGGGAATCACGCAGACATGACCGAGATAGCTCTCCGGCCAATAACCAACAGCGAGATCTGGATACCCATGTTGGCTCCCACATGTTCCACGATGATCTCATCGAATGAACCACGATGTCGAGGATTCAAGTAATCCTGTATACAATTCCCTTTGTCAATCGGTACGTTACTTGCCCGAGATTCGATCGTCGGTATCCCAATACCTCGTTCAATCTTGTTACCGACAAGTCACTTTACTCGTACCGTAATGCATGATCCCGTGACCAACCACTTGGTCACATTGAGCTCATTATAATGATGCATCACCGAGTGGGCCCAGAGATACCTCTCCGTCATACGGAGTGACAAATCCCAGTCTCGATCCGTGTCAACCCAACAAATACTTTCGGGGATACCTGTAGTATACCTTTATAGTCACCCAGTTACGTTGTGACGCTTGGTACACCCAAAGCACTCCTACGGTATCCGGGAGTTACACGATCTCATGGTCTAAGGAAATGATACTTGACATTGGAAAAGCTCTAGCAAACGAACTACACGATCTTGTGCTATGCTTAGGATTGGGTCTTGTCCATCACATCATTCTCCTAATGATGTAATCCCGTTATCAATGACATCCAATGTCCATAGTCAGGAAACTATGACTATCTGTTGATCAACGAGCTAGTCAACTAGAGGCTCACTAGGGACATGTTGTGGTCTATGTATTCACACATGTATTACGATTTCCGGATAACACAATTATAGCATGAATAATAGAAAATTATCATGAACAAGGAAATATAATAATAATAATCATTTTATTATTGCCTCTAGGGCATATTTCCAACAGTCTCCCACTTGCACTAGAGTCAATAATCTAGTTACATTGTGATGAATCGAACACCCATAGAGTTCTAGTGTTGATCATGTTTTGCTCGCGGAAGAGGTTTAGTCAACGGATCTGCGACATTCAGATCCGTATGCACTTTGCAAATATCTATGTCTCCATCTTGAACATTTTCACGAATGGAGTTGAAGCGACGCTTGATGTGCCTGGTCTTCTTGTGAAACCTGGGCTCCTTGGCAAAGGCAATAGCTCCAGTGTTGTCACAGAAGAGAGTGATCGGCCCCAACGCATTGGGTATGACTCCTAGGTCGATGATGAACTCCTTCATCCATATTGCTTCATGCGCTGCCTCCGAGGCTGCCATGTACTCCGCTTCACATGTAGATCCCGCCACGACGCTTTGCTTGCAACTGCACCAGCTTACTGCCCCACCATTCAAAATATACACGTATCCGGTTTGTGACTTAGAGTCATCCAGATCTGTGTCTAAACTAGCATCAACGTAACCCTTTACGACGAGCTCTTCGTCACCTCCATAAACGAGAAACATATCCTTAGTCCTTTTCAGGTACTTCAGGATATTCTTGACCGCTGTCCAGTGTTCCATGCCGGGATTACTTTGGTACCTTCCTACCAAACTTACGGCAAGGTTTACATCAGGTCTGGTACACAGCATGGAATACATAATAGACCCTATAGCCGAGGCATAGGGGATGACACTCATCTTTTCTCTATCTTCTGCCGTGGTCGGGCATTGAGCCGAGCTCAATTTCACACCTTGCAACACAGGCAAGAACCCCTTCTTGGACTGATCCATATTGAACTTCTTCAATATCTTATCAAGGTATGTGCTTTGTGAAAGACCTATGAGTTGTCTCGATCTATCCCTATAGATCTTGATGCCTAATATATAAGTAGCTTCTCCAAGGTCCTTCATTGAAAAACACTTATTCAAGTAGGCCTTAATGCTGTCCAAAAGTTCTATATTATTTCCCATCAAAAGTATGTCATCTACATATAATATGAGAAATGCTACAGAGCTCCCACTCACTTTCTTGTAAACGCAGGCTTCTCCATAAGTCTGCATAAACCCAAACGCTTTGATCATCTCATCAAAGCGAATGTTCCAACTCCGAGATGCTTGCACCAGCCCATAAATGGATTGCTGGAGCTTGCATACCTTGTTAGCATTCTTAGGATCGACAAAACCTTCCGGCTGCATCATATACAGTTCTTCCTTAAGATAGCCATTAAGGAATGCCGTTTTGACGTCCATTTGCCATATCTCATAATCATAGTATGCGGCAATTGCTAACATGATTCAGACGGACTTTAGCTTTGCTACGGGAGAGAAAGTCTCATCGTAGTCAACCCCTTGAACTTGCCGATAACCCTTAGCGACAAGTCGAGCTTTATAGATGGTAACATTACCATCCGCGTTCGTCTTCTTCTTAAAGATCCACTTGTTTTCTATCGCTCGCCGATCATCGGGCAAGTCTGTCAAAGTCCACACTTTGTTTTCATACATGGATCCTATCTCGGATTGCATGGCTTCAAGCCATTTGTTGGAATCTGGGCCCGCCATCGCTTCTTCATAGTTCGAAGGTTCACCGTTGTCTAACAACATGATTTCTAGGACAGGGTTGCCATACCATTCTGGTGTGGAACGTGTCCTTGTGGACCTACGAAGTTCAGTAGCAACTTGATCCGAAGTACCTTGATCATCATCATTAACTTCCTCTCCAGTCGGTGCAGGCACCACAGGAACATCTTCC